GTTGTTCTTCTTCTTGTACTTGTTCTGCTATAACACATAATAAATATTAGAATGTTTAGTATAAGATATAAGATATTAATGTTTTAAAATATAAGATATTCTTCTTATTCTAACAGAATAAAAATTTATTTCAATAACACAAATACAATACACACAAAATTCCCATTCTAACAGAATAAAAAAATGACATATTACACAAAAAAAATCAAAGAACTGCAATTCTAATAGAATATAAAATAAACTACAAAAACATCATACATCTCATTTTGAAACATAACCCACTGAACATTGAAATACTTATATTCATACACATAATTGTATTCTATTAAAATATTCTACATGTATAGTATATCAATCTACAATAATTGTACCTATTTCAATTTAACTCATAATTCTAACTTAATAAAAATTAAATAACAAACAGTAAACATACTATACAACTTGTTGCAATGATAACAGTATAAAAAAGAAATTAACAAAAAAACACCCTCTTCAAACTCTATCAGATGATATTACATACAAATTCGAATTCTACCAGAATCATATACATTTCAATGCAAGACATATAATCCACTATCCATGTGTATAGTCACACTCATATACAACATTCCATTCTAATAGAATTTTACACATGTAAACTATATCCATCTTTAAGAATTTTGAATGTTTCAGTTTAAGTCATTAATCATATACAAACTTTGTTACCTTCAGGTTCCGCAATGAAATCATCATCGCCATCTTCAAGATTCAAGGTCGTTTCTGATGTGTTCTTGAACTTCGACTTGAATGAAGTCGATCGTGTACTCATTCTTTTAGAATACCGTTCACAGAAGCCCCCAAATGTCGATTCCTTCTTCTAGGGTAAAATGTCGATATTTATATGAAAAAACCTTCAAAGAATCTTCCGATTTGAAGATTGATTACAAAAAATCAGAATATGTTTCAATCTCCAAAGGAATTGGGGTTTTGATTTTGATAGTATGCGAGATATTTGGGATTATCGGTTGATCACTTCCATAGTTATCGACCGTTTCCTATTAAAATGACGAGTCAATGTACCATTCTACCCTTCCGTGACCAGTCATTTAATGAAATCCTATTAATTTGTTTTTTTTTCTATTTAATTTTAAAAGAAAATCACTTTCTTAAT